ACGCCTGTGAGGGAAGCCAGTTATCCTCCTTGAGCTGCACCTGATAGAATTTATCAAGTGAAAGTCCTTTCGTTGCTCCCTACCTTGGTGGTAATGAGATACCTAGGCTTACGTTTCATACACGTTTCAAGAATGAATAGTATCGTTGGAAAAACAGGCACTACATAACAGATGTAATTTTTGTTTAGGACTCTTTTTTTTTCCTCCGTCATTGACGAACTCACAACCTCTTTAAATACTTCCGTACGAATAAACATATCATTTAAGGATTAATAATTATATGTTATAAAAAATATTATATCCAAAATTTATGTTACGACTTTTTACGACAGTTTATTGAGTTTTAGTATTGTCCTGATTGTTCATTGCTAACTAATAGCCCTGGAGCCAGTGCCCAAAAATCTACCTGATCACAGGTGAAGGTTTGAATGTAAACTGTTATTGAATGTGTATGTTATAGTAAAGCGAATCTTGTCTGCCATTCCAGAACCGCTGTTTTCAAAAATGGCGGCTGATTTAAAGAATATTAAGCCAGCAACTTGAAGATCGAAACTGTAAATCATTTTCATATATAACTCTTAAACCATGCATTGAAGCTAAAAATGTACATTTTAATAAATTTAAGAACGGTAAATTTTGCGTCAAACGAGTACATAAACTTAATAATTTGGTTACATGAAACGATGTAAAACTCCGATGAATCAACGCTTATTTTTACCAAATTTGTCAAAAGCTGAGACAAATTACTATAAATGGCCCTTTAACTTGGAAATAAGTTCCTTAAGAAGAAAATCTCATAAAATCAAAGTTGTAGAGCATCAAATTTTACGCCCACTCAGTACCAACTATTTTAATGTGGGTCACTTACCCCGAACAAAATCAGTTATCTCCCTATGGTTAGAAATTGGTACTGAAGATATACGTGAGTTTAAATATTTAAACAGTATCCGTGTCTATTCTACTGACAATGAGTTATTTTTGTTGAGTCTGTTACTTTCAGTATAAGCCTCTTTTCCACCTCTTAATAATGATGGATTTTGATAAACGATATGTCGAAATATCCTGAATTTCATAAGAAAGAAATAACGAATCCTGTTCCGAGATATATAATTAGCCTAAAATAAAAATGTCAGTACTCAGTGGACGCAAAATTTGATGCTCTACAACTTTGATTCTATCGGTTTTTCTCTTAAAGAACTCATTTCACAAGTCACAGGGCCATTTATAGTAATTTGTCTCAGTTTTTGTAAAAATCAGCATTGGGTGACCGTGGTTTTATACCTTACCAAGTAATCAAATTATAAAGTTTATGTACTCGTTTGAAGCAAAATTTAACGTTCTTTAATTTATTAAAAAGTACATTTTTCGTTTCGATCGTTTAGGAGTTATATGTGAAAAAAAGAAAAAAATATCGAAACAATATTACTTTTTTGGCTATAAAAATTTTTTCCTTGGTGGCCCACGTTAGTAATTTTGTTTTTTACATTTCTAAACCCATATATACAAGTTAAAAAAATAAAAACTTTTCTCATATTTTTCGCAATGGATTTTCCGTTTCGATCCTGAAGTTAGTCCTAATATTCCGTAAATCAGTCGCCATTTTTGAAAGCAGCGGCTCTAGAATGGCATAAATGGTTATTTTTACTCAGAACAAAACACACTATTGCAATTTGCAATCAAAACCTACGCCCGCGATCAGATCGCTTTTTGTACCCTGGCTCCAGGGCTATAACTTTTATAGTCTGGATACGGGACAGATTTACGGTTTTTTGCTGTGTTAACTAACAGTAGCCATTTTGCTTTCTGCACATATGTGTTTTCAAGACCAAGTTTAATTTAAAATAAAAAATAATTTTGAAATCAGCGTAACACGCTGAGAATTTAGTTCATTGTCATCCGATTTAGTATTCCGACATTCAAAATAGATTTCTTTTTCTATTGTATGATGTTCTTACACAGCTAGCATAATCTCATAATACCTAATCTTATTGTTAGACATTTAGAATGATATGGGTTATTTTCAAACTATCTAATCTTCGATCGTTTAAGATATTTTTGTAATGAGAAAATTATTTTTCTATATCAATCAATATCTATATCAATCAACACGTCGTGAAAGCAACTTTGTATGAATTTAAAATAATCGATTTTACTCTATAAATAATCCCATGAGTTTTACTCTAAATAATCTATTCTTAACTCTTTGGTATCGTAAGATTTCAATTTTGAAGAAATATATGGGCTTACTTTTGGAATTTAAATTTATAATAAATATTAACGCTTGTATTCACATACTTATTGAAGTGAGTAGAAACAAACTAAAATTGAAATTGAGTCTAATGATAACAATTTAAAAGGGACAAGAATGAAACATAAAAACCTGGTCATTAACAAATTCAATATTATAAGAAGTCAAATACTGAAAGTAATATTATTTCGTAGAATAATTTTGTTTGTAATGTGAAATTTCATCTTCAATATTGTACTTAATTTTTAATATTTTTTACTTAGTTAAAATAATCAAAATATGCAATTAAATGCATATATCATTAAATATTCAAATGTATGCGGTATGAATTTTGATTAATTAATTAGTCGGAATAAATTGATCTGTTGATATTTGATCAGCTGATTAAAAATACATAGATACAAAATATGAAATTGCATTGAAATCTGAGTCATGATTATAACTAATACAACAAGGAAAATCTCTATCACCCAATGTGCTACATTTGATTTTTTAATATATTTTTTATCAGGTGTATACAATGTGTCAATTCCATAACTTTTCACTCAATTTTTTTTACGTTTCAATTCCAAAAATCGCTGTTCCTGAAAATTCATATTTATAAACGGATATTGTCATTAAGATTGAAATTTTTCCAACAAATATCATAATGGTCGTACTATGCAAATATTTAGTAGAAAGTCCACCTAATTTTCGTTTTTACACTTTTCAAGAGTTAAAAGATTCGTTTTATGTTGATTTTCTAAGGAGGATAAGTTTTATGATTTTTAAAAAATATTCTCCTCTCTTCGTAAGTAATGTGTTGTGAGACAAAAACTATAGCATACATCGTGGTTTTTTATTTTGGTTATAATTAAGTTTTTATATTTACGTAACTACCTGAGAGTTTTTCAGAACATTTTTTTCAGTGGAAAAGCAAGAGGAAAAGAATTGCTTACAGAAACTTGTCAATCAATATCCCATTTTAAGAAGGCACGGAGGTTAAGATGGGCGGGGCATGTAGCTCGTAGCAATCCATGTGGAAGCTTCTACGTAACAATAAATGCCTCAATTGAAGGAAAACGACCACGTGGAAGGCCAAAAAGTAGATGGGTGGATAGAATCAAGAAAAATTTCAATAGAGCTTGATAAATAAATGGAAAGAAATAAACTAAGACAGGCAGAGAAGGAGCAGGCTTGTTTAGGTGGCAAAAGATCTATATTGTGTGTAACGCCAACAGATTAAAAAAAAATGAATCCTAAAAACTTTTAACAATAGTCCTGTGCTCACCAAATGATAAAGAAAAATCAGTAAACAAAATTATTTACGTCAATACCAACATACATAGGGTTAAACATGCGAGAAGGATATTTTGATGGGAGGGGACCATTTCAGGAAACTATCACTTCAGTAAGGACCCGGTCTTTTGTTTTTTAACATTTAAATTCACATTAAAATAAAGAATAGTTAACATTATACATGTTATATAATGTCTTTACATAATATTTTTGTAGGCTCAAGGCTCGCATTGAGTTTTAATGCTAAATTTATTATTTGTGAGAGACCATTAATATTAAACCTAGTCTCTTGGTATATTTCCCCGGCACTGGGAATAGTTAGTTACTCTACTTCCTACCAAACGATCATTGATTATTATTCTTCGTGTCCTGGATATCAGCCTCCTTAATGCAAGCGTTTTTCAAGTGCGACCTTCAACTTTGTCCTTTCCTGCTTGGGTTATGCTTTACGCCGAAAAATTTGTCTCCTTCCTAAAAATATTAAACAGACCTTAATTAAGTTAATAAATGATAATAAGCAACTCTTTATTATTTTTTTATTTGCTTAAATTATATCGGGAGGATTTGCACAATGCCATGTTCCCTACAGGATCTGCGTTCCAGTGCAGTACATAAGTTGCATTGGAGTTACAATTTAAATGAAATGACAATTATTAAGTTCTTTATTTATTTTTTTAACCTTCATTCATCATTTATTTCTGGGATTCTTCAGTTACATAAAATTATCTTTTTTTATATTTTCTAGGAAAATATGCTTTAATCATAGAAGCGGTAAGTTCTAGATAAGATTGAGTTAGTTCATCTTGGGTCGGAATGAGCTTGTTTTTTGCGGGTGAAAGACTTAATTTCATCGCTCCTTCTATTACACCCTATCTTTTCCCCAATGAAGGTCAACAGTTGTTTGCCCATTTGTCTTAGATGTAATTGACATTAATACTTTATAGAAGGTCGGGTAGCGTTTTCTGTTCGTTTTAGAACCCCTAGATCATGATTTTGAAATTTTTATAGATTTCAGTAATATGCATTCTCACTTTATAATTTCCACTAAATTAGCTGATATTCGACTTATGGAGTATCTTTTTAGACAGAATAAAACCATGAACGTTTGGATAAATATCGTCATATACGAGTGGATTTTCATCTTTTTCGCCTGTTTTCAAAGTATTTCGTATCTTTATAGCCATTATTAAAGTCACAAGGTTGAAATTTGTTTTGTAAAACGAGTTGGTGTGAGAGAAATGTTTTTCGTTGGTGTTATTACCAGCCGCCATTTTGTTTCAAGATGGCCACAAAAAAAAAGTGTTTCTATTGACTAGCCACCGGTCTCTTTCTCCTGCCACTCAGGATAGGTATATCCTTGTCCTTCCTCCAGTTCCTTGAGTATATCTACCTACACAGGCACACAAACACACGCACATGTAATTTTTCGAACATAAATTTACATTTCTTATTAAAGTTCTTTTAACTTTTTCAGCTCTTGTTGGATCTTTGTCGATCGGTACTACATTCTTCTTATCACCTATAGCTGGTATCCTTACAGACAGGATTGGTGTTAGACTCACAACATTTATTGGCGGATTATTTGGTGCTTCGGGTCTCTTTCTTTCATCATTTGTTGTTCATAAGGTAACACTTTGTTTTTTAATATTTATATCTATATCTGTCTAGAATGAGGAAATGAATAAGGAAAATAACATGATTCAAGTTTCCTTAATATTAAGATAATCCTTTTAATGTGATAAAAAATTATATGTTTTTATGTTTGACTACAAATATTTGATCATTATTTTTTTTTTTTATGTATGTTAATAATCTAGATTTCGTGAGTTAAAACGACTTGCTTCCCTTGTCTTAAGGAAGAGAAGGTGTTATAAGGCTTAAATGGTGTAGGTTTTAATACCTGGTAAGACATTAAAAAATAAAATAAATAGTATCGGTTTATATGAAATCAAAGATAAAATCTGTGTTTGTATTATGATATTTGCGTCATTTCATTCTTTATATACCCGAGTGTTTGTGATAAATTAGGTATGCATGAAATATTAATATTGATAATTTCAACCAAAAAAAAATGAAATATATATATCATAAAAAACTGTTCTATTAGTGAAATATTGTATTACGATAAGAATTATGTATATTAAAAAAAATCTAATGGTTGACAAATAAAGGCCTTGCTTTGAAAAGTTTCTAACATTTCCTATAATTTTGAGAAACATAGCCTCAAAGTTACAATTTACTATAGTATGGGTATTTTATTAATTACAAATAATTTTGTTTACTTTGTTGTATAGTACCTCGAAGCATTGAATCTATATTTGCATTCGTTGATGATTTAGTTGTACCAGTTATTAATATTATTATTATTTGTATTGTAATATTTTTTTTAAATTTTCTTATATCTTAATTCGGCCAGTACAAAAAAGCTTAACTATTCTAAAATTTGAGAATTTTCGTTTCAAGGAGGGTTCGTAGAATCGAAAAGCTGTATTAAATAAAAGTATTTCGTAGTATTTTTTTTTTAAACAAATTGGATGATTAAACTATTTTATCCTTTCTACGTTTAATGAAATAAAGGTTATTTATTTCAGAAGCAATATTTTTAAATCGTTGGTCATGAGGTAATAATAAAACAAAAATTAAGAGAAAAGACAGAAACATGTTTTTTGCAGAAACAATACCAGAGTAAAATTATCAAAAAAATATATTGATCATCTAATGATATATGCATTGCTAAAACCTGATATAAATAAATAATGAATGATTTGTTTGTTTACACTATATATATTAAATTCCTTACCTTAAAATTTTAAATTTTAGTACAATGTAGATTTTCACGGCTTTTCTAAAAATTATGAAAATATCACACATGTCATTTCTGAAATGACCGATTTAAATATGTTATACACTTAGGACAGATCTTTATTAATAATATAAATGATTTAATTTCATATTTAACGCTGATTAAAATAAATGTAAATCAATTACCGTGTAGCGTATTGCAGTTAGAACCTGCGCAAACCAATTACTTTAAAAAGTTGTCAGATTTAGAACTATCTCACACTGCTTTTTCTTTATTTTTCCACTGATGGCAATAAAATTCATTCAGAACATAGATAAAATTGTTGTGAGTGATTTCTGAATGAAAACTCATTTTGCGCAAACTTGTTAGTTAGAACATTTTCAAACCAAGGCCATGAAATATTAGTCAACGTGATTTATAAATCTATTTGGTTTTTTTTTTTTTTTTTTTTTTTTTTTTTTTTTTTTTTTTTTTTTTTTTTTTTTTTTTTTTTTTTTTTTTTTTTTTTTTTTTTTTTTTTTTAGTGAAAACGTCTTTAGGCGCGTTTTGCTCTTTTTTTTGTGGAGCTTAAATTAAATTGAGCTGTCAGATTTCCGATTTGTAACGCCGGGAATCGTCTAATTGAAGCGTTTTTTTCATATGGATTAAAATACCTCAAAAAGTAAAAATCGGACCTGCATTTTGTTAGCGAGGGTAATGTTCATCATTTCATCCTATTTGTAATGAGCTATTATTCAAAATTTTATCTTAACGCGACGCCGTTTTATAGAAGCGAAAAGGAAAACATAGTGTTGAAGACCAAATTATAACGAGTTTCATGGAAGATATGGATTAAAAAATCTGAGAAACTAAAAATTGAACCTGCATACTGTAAGTGAAGGAAATGTTCAGTATTTCATCCTGTTTATAATGAGCTAATATTTATAATTTATATTTCATATTTTTAATCTCGCTTTGTTGATGATTTCACTTCTATCGTATGGTCTAATACACACACCGTAGTTTTTCTATCCTGTTGATATGTTATGTGATATACTTTTCGACTGATAAAGAATATACCATTCTAGAATAAATTCAATAATTGTTGGATGGTCCTTAATTGACAAGTAGGGAAGGAAGGCCGTCGTAAATAAGCCTGAAAAAAGTCTAGTCACCGAAAATGGTTGGAAAAAACATATTTAAAAAATGACACACAGGAAGACAAAGTATTTTTATTGAAATTGATTTCACTCCTGTAATAGGGCCTCAATTCAAGAATCATTCTAGAAACGTTTGCCTTCAAATCGTCTGAATCAGCGAAACGTTGGCTTGTTGTTCGCCTATATTTCAGATGATTAATGTTTTCTTTTTGAATCTACCAATAATATCAAATTAAACCGTGTTTTTTTTTTAATGTGGAGATATGAGAAAAGATGGAGTTTTACATTATGACCGTTTTGAAATCGTTGAATTACAACACCATTCATTCTCACAGCACACATAAATGTATAAGTATATAATTATTTATGTATGGTTGTGTAGTTGGAATATTATTCACATTTTCATAATTAATATCATTTTTAATTTTCAATTTATCAAAAAATGTCACCAATTATAAAATTATAAAAATATTTCTAATGAAGTATGTAAAGTGGTTTTTAAATGATTTAGTGTTTAAACCGACCTAACCTCAATAGACTTATAATATGTAGCCTTTAAAGTACATTAATGTAATAACAGAAAACAAAAATACTCGGGTTGTTATGGCAGTTGAAACTATCTACTTATTTATGTATTACTATTTCTCTTGTTTTGAGAAGGCCTGTGCGGAAATTTAAAGATTGTAAACAGGTCATTGATAGTAAAAATATTTAATTTAATTTTATTATATGTTTACATTATGTAATGAAAGGCCATTATTGTTAATGCTTATTAATGATTATTTACAGTAGAAATGCCACCTACATATTTGAACTCAGTAAAATTCTTTCTTAATTTTAAAATGTGTTTTTAATATTTTCAAGTACTTAGATCTCGATTGATTTTGGAGCTGCTAATTACAAATCCTTTTATAAGTCTAACTATCATGATAAACGATTATCTACTGTTGGTTGAAAATTCTAATTAATGAAAGGAATCAATTCAATCTTAGGCGAATAAAAAGAAACCTTGGAAGTTAAATAAAAAGACAAACATGTCTATGCAAGTATAATTCACAGTCTTATTGAATATTTACCTTGTGGAACACAGTATTAATAGGTCACTTCTCCAGGCTGGTATTCAATTCGATTTCGTAATTTCTGTTGTAATCTTCCAGAAATGATAATAATTTTAACAACATTTATTCAGCTTCATTAGGATGTATGTTAGGTTCTTTATTATCAATTTATTCCAATTAAATGAATTATTCATTAATGATAGAGGTATAATGGACCGTACTAAGTGCAGAACTTGATTGGAAGGGGTGTGGTAAGAAAAAATACAAATTCCGTTCATTTCCTTTTTTTTCATCACGCCAAACAAAATTAAATAAAAAATTGTTAACAATATATACCTCAATCCAACTAACATTAAATAAATAAAGTAATGGGAAAAAAATTTGTCTTTTTTCAATCAATTAATTCAATTAAAGTGCTGATCTACTAATAATGGTAAAACGTTATTCGTCGTGATCCCATAATAAATATGTGACATGTATTACTGAAGGTATCGTAATACGAATAAGTATTTATTTAAAATTAGATGTAAACCGTCCATTCTTAAAATAATATTGCTTGTTATTTTTTCTATCATAAGGCTACTATTTTCTATTCAAGTAATTACAAGAAACCATTATTTCGTTTGAGATGGGCAGACTCGTTTACATTTTATAATAAAGACATAACCTAACCCACTAGCGGATCCAGGATTTAATTTTGGGGGGAGGGCTTCAGCCCGAAACCTTTTTTTTTTTCATAAAAATAACGATAATTACTTTGGAAAAACAGAAAGAAACTAACTACCTATATGAAATGGTGTTTAAGTTATTCCTTAAGTACTTTTAAATGTAATTACACGAACAATAATAATTTAAGAGGTATTTTTTCCCCATAAAACATGGTTATATTTTTCCATTTTGGGGGGAGGGCTTCAGCCCGAAAGCCCCCCCCCGTAAATCCGCCCGTGACCTAACCTCATTATTCAACCGCAACAGCGAGCAGTTTCAGCGAAATACCCAAGCTTGAGTGGTTGGGAGGAAGAGATGGTATAGTGACTTGATAATATTATTAAGTCACTGTAAGAGATGGCAGTCGCTGCTGAGGACAGTACAGCGAAATAGTATTTTTAATTAGCAAAACTAGGATGTTGAACTAATTTGAGTTAACGTGGCGAAGTGATAAATTGTTGAATAATAAAATTTATAATATCGAGAAAAACAGTTTATATTACTCTTATAAATTTACTAAAATCCTATAATTCATTCAAAATGTGTGACGTTTCGGCCTATTTTGCCCATTTTCAAGTCGAATAATTATATAGCATTTTTATATAATCCATATAATCATAATTTTATATAATTATTGCAAAATTTATCTCCCCAAAATCAATCCTTCGAGTTTTAAAATTCATAAATTAATCATTCTGTGGACGTTCAAAAATTAAAAATTATTTGAAAATTTCTCCTATGGTGCACATTTTTGTCATATTTAAACCAAAGCCTAATGTCTACTTTTAGTTTAAATGTGCAGCATTGGAGACATTTTATATAATTTTTGAATATCCACAGATTTCACTATCCATGAATAATTTATGAACTTTAAAACATCCATGATTGATTTTGAGAAAATGAACTTTGCTATATAATTATTCGACTTGAAAATCGGAAAAATTTCCCGAAACGTCGACAAGAATTTTGAATGAATTAAAGCATTTTAGTAAATCTATAAGGGTAATATAAATTGTTTTCCTCGATATTATAAATGTTATTATAAATATATACCCTTAGAAAATTTTGAAGATTCAATGAAAAATTAGATATTGAATAAAATTATACAAATTGTCAGTCAATTTTATATTGCCTATGTTGCAGTATTTGCATTGTTTTTGTATTGGTAACGAGGAGGCAAGATCGAACTTACTATCCTTAAAATAGGAATTTCACGCAATAGTTTTCAATATAATTTTGTAGTTTTGATTAACCGAAGTCTAATGTACTTTTTGAATATATTTTTCATTATAGGTAGAAGGACTATATTTGACATATGGTATACTGTTTGGAATAGGTGCTTCGTTGGCATACACGCCATCTCTTGTAATCTTAGGACATTACTTTGAACGCTACCTTGGCTTGGTAAATGGTTTCGTGACAGCTGGAAGTTCCGTCTTCACTATGATCATGCCATTCTTCATATACTATTTACTCACAACATTTGGACTTTCCAACACCCTCAGGTATTTTTCTGTGTATTTACCTTTTTGCCATTTGTCTAAATGTTTCAACATTTATGATTACCTAAATCATTCTCTAAATTGAGGCAGTATCTGAAAAAGGACATTTACCCGAAGTTCATCGTTTGAAGAATCGCTATATCAATTTTTTTTAAATGGTTTATTCCAATTGTTTTGGAATCATAATTTAATATCATTTTGGATTTTGTAAATTATCCGAATTGAGATTTTTAATTTTTAGGCTTGGGTGTAATTATTCCAAACACAATTTTCTTAAATGATTGAGATAACGGTATATGAAACCTCTTATCGTGCCGGAATTCGGAAATAAAATGGTGAAGTGCTATGAGAATCATCTCCCTTTTTTTTCTTTTTTTTTTCTGAAAAACTCACAAAATTAAGACTAAACTTGAACAACATTGAACCTTTCTATCAAAAAAAGACTATGTAATATTTTCTAATGCGAACAGTTCTACCAAGCAAATAAATTATAGCACGACTGTGAAACTTTTGTAAGTAACAAAATTCATGTCAATGGATTTTCCGAAAAACAAAAATTGCTTTTAACAGCGAACGTCATTTTTCAGGTACAGCATCAGTAGTAGAGTATTCTATACATATATTGAAAATTGAATACTGTGAAATGTTACTTTCTTCTTTTACTTTTTTCTTTTTTACTTGAGTATCGCCAGTCACTTTTTGTAACAGTTACCGTCATCTTCGAATAAATCAAAATAATAGTTATATTTAAAAATCATATTATGTCGTATAATATAATAACAAGTATGCTAAATATTTAATCTTCAGGAGGCCAAAAGTTTCTCATTGCCTGGAATATTTCATCAAATAAACCCAATCCTTCAAATCTTCTTCTCCTAACAAACTCATGAAGATGTGTCAAGCATACTTCTTCGTAATGAAATAATGTTATTTAATTTTATGTTTTTTTTAACATTTCCAATAAAACAATACATTTATCATTGTAAATATTAATAATTTATTAATAAGATGTATATGTATACAAGATATATATATTGCATATATCATATTGTAATAGTTTAAAAATAAAATGGAGGATAAAGAGGGAAAAAAAATCGTAATAATTTATTGTCATGTGTATTTGACAAATCTGTAACAGTTCTGAATAAGTTACAAAAGAGTTACTGGCGATACTTAAGTAAAAAAGGCTTATTCAAACTGAACGAATTATTTTAATATTTTTGGTGTCGTAGATGTTTGAGTGCACTATTGGTTTGTCTGATTGGGATAGCTTTGCTCTTCAAACCAACAAATCAGGCGAGTGTTCAGAAGAAACAGATGAAATCACTACTGAATGCTGACATATGGAAGAACAAGAGATACGTAGTCTGGGCAACAGTAATACCTCTAGCGCTCTTTGGTTATTTCGTACCTTATGTTCATATGGTAATTATTAAATTATTCCTAATGAGTACGTAAAATGTATCATAGTGGATCATGTATGATATATAACATATATCACACTGGAAAAAACTTTTTTTTTAACATTAAAATTTTAGCATGTTAGGCTTTAAGAATATAAATTAAGAATCATAACTTTTCAGCAGAGCCGCTAGATGATCTCAATTATCGACCAGTTTGTCGTGTACTATAATATCTACGTTTAATATTTTCTTAATAGTAATATTTTATGTTTGTTAATAGTAACATTTTAATTTTCGAAAACGTAAATAAAATGGCAATCGTGACATTTAGGTGGTTTTCGGAATCAATTAAGGTTTGTTTCAAAACGCAAAGGTACGTTCCGAAGGATATAAGCGTCGAAGAGTTAAAATTTTAATTTCAAATCTCGATCCAGTTTTGAGTTTTGAAATCTCTTACTTGTGTTACTTGTGTTTTTGTAATGAAATTTATCAAAATTGTAGAAATACAAGATCGAAATTGGGATTCATTACTTCTCCATGAAATTCATCAAAATCTGTCGTTCTTGGAAGCCAAAAAAAGGTGAAAGTCAAAAATAATATCATTATGTATATATTGTAGATAGTTAAAACAATTTAAAAAATGATTCATTTGAGATATTTTTTGAATTATATCACTAGCGGATCCAGGATTTAATATTGTGGGGGGCTTCAGCCCGAAAGATTTTTTTTTCATATACATATACCGATTATTAATTAGAAAACAAAAGAAAGAAATTAATTACCTTTATGAAATGGTGATTAAGTGGTTCTTGAAGTTATATTGAATGTAATTACACGAACAAGAATACTTTAAGAGATAGTTTTTAATATTTTTTTTCTGTAAAACATGGTTATATTTTACCATTTATGGGGGGAGGAGGCTTCAGCCTGAAAGCCCTCCTCGTAGATCCGCCTGTGAATTATATTACTCTAACCAACGAAAAAAACTACTCTCACCAACCTGATTCAATTTAAAAATTTTTCGACTTGCACTCTTAATGCACGACGCACTAGGATTACTACAACATTATTATTACAAATTTTAAAGCGTCTTGTAAGAATGATCGGATTAACTTGGAAATGTTTTTGAATGAAAATTGAATTGGGTTTTTATTATATTCCAGACATTCTCTTCACAATGCCATTGAAGTCTCTAGAGGTTGTTGGGTTGCCGAAATAGTACTTTCGTACTTTCTTATCACTACTCCAGGTGATAGACAATATGGTGAAAACGTTACTCCTTTAAATGCAGCAACTATTGGGAGATAGATCAATACCCTATCTAATTGTTCATTAAACTAAACTTGGGATCCAATAAGGAATGATGAATTAGAGATAATGGCATGGATTGAGCGCTGGCATTGATGTACTGCGTCGTTTCTTCTTCTGCTATTACTTGTTCAAATCTGAAAATAACTTTCTTTTCTTTAAAAAATAAGAATAGCAGAGGATTCAGCTCTTCATTCTTTTATTTAGCCAATTTAAGGAAATCGTGATGTTTGCTGTGAGATGTTATTTCATTTCAATATAATATACTAAAAACATATCAATGGATATAGACCAAAATTCCTCCATAACTTCATCTCAGAATCTTCTGATAACCACAACATTGAAACTATATTGAATATCGACTGTATAGATAAAGTAAACAAAGTTTACTATTATATGATGGAAGTACATTCACAAAATTGTTGATCATAGCCCATGTTATATTAAGTGTTTATTTTTAGTTTATGTAAAAAGTAGTATTTTGTTTGTATATATAGATATTTTTATTTCTTATTGTTCTATCATAGTAACAGGTTCATTTAACTATCATTATGCAGTAATCGTTTTATGTTTTTAACTTTTATTGTTTTTCATGCTTTGTAAAACCCATTATAAACGGAAAATATTGTAAAGTTTATTTATATTTAAATGATATGTAATGCTATGTAAATTTGTAAAACCCTATTATTGTACTATAGCCAAGCTAGGCTCTATTTGTATGGGGAACCCCCCAAAAACAAATAAAATATCCATCTATCTATCTATCTACTAAAAACATAAATTAAATATCAGTTTAAATCAAATAGTCCGGACACAAAGACTTGAGTTTCGTTCTAAAATGCAGGTGAAACAATCCGTATGTTTTTTGATATCACGGATCGATGTACCATCTTTATTTGTGTATTTTTCTATACCCGTTATGAGAAATGCATTTTAGCTGCATGTTTGTGATTTAGGTTGTTTTCAGTGGAGTACCAAGACCATTTGGGGTCCAGGGTGGATTATTGTTGGAGGTATCCTCAAAAAAACCAAAAAATTATTAATAAAAAAAAATCTCCAAAATTCAAGTGGTCCAAAATAAATTAAATTAATCGCTCGACCATTTTTAACTTTTGTTAAATATGTCTTGTAATTTTTTTTTGCCAAATGCTTAGGTTCTACGGACCTTTTGCTTAGGTTATTATCATTTCCGTTATTTTGATTAGGTTCTACGGACCTATATCAGTAAATATAATTTGCGGTTTCTTCAATCAAAGAAAAATTGTTCAAGAACTATAAGATTTATAAAGATCATACGAACACCATATTAAGGGTTACGTTTTAAGCTAAGAAAACTTATTATTAACACGGTTGATTTATTTCTGTTCCTAATATGTTAAAAATTGGCCTGAGTTTGAGTATTAAAATAAAAAAGTCCACTTTCTAGCTTCTTTTTTAAGTGAATTGTTTTATTAAAGACTTGCCTATTTTATTCGGTCGACCAGAATTAATATCATTCTTAATGGATGTATCCTGGGTTTTTCATGATTCCTTAAATTTTGACATTTTTCGATTTTGTTGAACTTATTCGATCTTTCTAAATTTTATATTTTCTGAGCTATCGACGAAACCGCAAATCGTTATATTTATTCAACTTAATCCGTAGAACCGAAGAAAAATGCCTGCCAATTTCAAACAAAATAAAAATTCCAAATTCTTTTTATATTTAAAAACCTGGAGGAATCTAAGTAAAAATATAATAAAATAGTCAAACTACCACTATTGGACCACTTCATAAGGATTGGTCCAAGGAATTGACTGACTCCTCTTTGAACGCCATCACTATAAATTATTTATGTCCTGATCTCTGAAATGGTGAGACGTTGAAGAATTAGTTTGCTTTACCTGAATTTTAGATACTCGTTGCTCTGTGTCTGAATTTTGCTTTATTTTATTTTTTAAAGTTTGCTTTTAAAAGTTCTATTAAGTTATATATAGTTCTTTTTTCAAAACATTCCTATAACTTTCCTACCTTGTTTATTCTTCTTTTTCATTATTACAAAAAAAAAAAAATATTAGATCTAATTTTTAATCGAATAATTTTGAAATATAATAAAAAAGGATTAAGAGATAGATTTCGTTTAAATTATTCAAGTACATATACTTAATTGTATTAAAATTCCCAATTATCCCTAAACACAATGTTTTCATTACAAATCTCAGCAGTTCTTATGACAAACATTTTATTTCAGAAATTTCAGTTAAATTGTGTTTTATTTTAGTAAATTATTTTATTTTATGATCAGCACCCTTATATTTTTTAATAAATTTATTGATTGATCTACTTATTTTTTTTTTCAGGTAAAGTTTGTGTCCATTAAATTTCCGAAGCACGATGGAAAAATTTTAGTTCTTTGTTTAGGAGTCACTTCAGGATTTGGGCGTTTGATGTTCGGAAGGCTTGCAGATAATCCAAGATTTAATAGGATATTGCTGCAGCAGGTATCATTAAAAGTTCAATTTTATAATCTTGAGATATTTTAAAATTATTCAAATTATCACTTATTTAGATCGATAGTATTTTATTTTGATATTTTTTTAATCTGTATCCTTTAGTGTTTATGAACGTGATTTTGAAGTAATTACAATCCTATTATATATAGTTGTGATTTTTATTTTAAGCTATTTATAGAGGGAGGAAAGAAAACAAAATAATGAAGAAAACTTAATGAATGATGGATCAAATTGTTATTACGTACGCACAAAAGTTGTCTGAAGAATCCAGGGAGAATTAATTTATATTAACTTAATTTGTGAAGAAAATATCCATTTTCTTTAATTTATTACTTTTTTTTGCAATACCTATGAATCCCTGGATTGCTTTTCATGCATATTGGTATAGTTCAACATTGATTTGCGATGTATCATTCCTTTAAAATAACTTTAGTTTTATAAGAATTATTATTAGTTACTTACCTAAATCTAAAAAAAACAAAAACGAGAAACGAAGCTAGGATGGATTGCGTCAACGATAGAGGTATCAGCATACTCGTGGCAGAGTGAGCATTGAATGATGCCCCATAAACAGTTTATAATCTCGTAAAGATGCACACCTTAAAAAAGTCTTAATCGCTTAAAAATGTGTCCACCTCAAAGGTTATAATGGCGTAACTTGCTCCTGTTTTTGTAATTTTTAATTTGGACCCCATTCAATCTGACTATAACCACTTATGTTTTCATACACTCAAGTAATACATCTTTTACAAGAGCTGTTCATTATATTTGAATGGGCGTTGCATCTTTGTCAGCTCAACACTCAGAAATTACAAAAGTCCGTGAAACAATTGCGGCGTGTTCTCCTCAGCTCCGCTTTGCGTTCAAGTCCCCACTCTTACGAAAAATATCATTTATCCTTTACCGATTTTGTAGTGTTATCGAATTTTGGAAGTTGACAATTCATCAGAACAACATCGACAAGCTATATACCTCGATTATGTTTTCACTGTTTTTTTATATTAACTCTATATTAACAGATCTATTAAGATTAAGTCCTATTTTTTGGGGGGGGAGCTCGAAAGATTTTTTTTTTGTATGTATATATTACGATAATTGTTTCGGAAGAAAGAAAGAAACTAAGTACCTTTATGAAATGGTGTTTAAGTGATTCTTTAAGTCATATCATATTTTATTTATTTTTATTTATACGACTAATAATAATACTTCTAGAGATAATCTTTATCAATAAACATGGTTCTATACAAATTGCCTGAAGCCTGCTCAATCTTTACGGGAGAGGCAACTGCCATAAAAGTAGCCCTTCAACATAGCCAAGCAAGGAACCTCCAAAAGACCGTCTTTATATCTTATTTAATGAGTGTACTTCTGGCAATTAAAAAACGAAATATCGAAACACGCGACGATAATTGAAATTTCGGAACTTATTTGGATCAGTAAAATAGCAGGAAATCAAACAGATTTTATTTATGCTCCGTCTCATTGTGGTATACAGGGCAACGAAAAAGCAGACGTCGCATCCCGAATAGCTCGAACTAATGACAATAATGAGGTGAAATCCATTAATTACGTGCCTCGAGAGGACTGGGTGGGGCAAGCAAAATTCCAGATGATAGCTCAATGGAATGAGACCTGGAGAAGAAACCCCTCCAAACTTGTCCAAATAAACAGTCCTAAATGGTGCACTAGTAACAGGAAATAAGAAAACAGGAATTAATTCTGTGCCGCCTCCGAATTTGATACTGTGAATTTTCACACGGTTTACTTTCTCCACGGTCGAGAGCCACCTACCTGCGTCAGATATGGTTCCCCTAGAACCGTGAACCATATACTCGTGGATTGTGAATCTAATTGCAGCCACAAGAAAAAAACCTCAACCTACACAGTACTCTTCAGGAAATATTACAAGATACCGAGAGAGATGTGGAAATTCTGATGATCTTTTTTATAAAAACGAGATTCTACAATAGAATATAGGAAACTAGAGTGAAGAAAGAATTTCCAGTGACCCTATCGGGTAGAAGCAAATTCAGATAAATAATTAAACAATAAACATGGTTATATTTTACCATTTTGGAGGGAGGGAGCTTCAGCCTGAAAGCCTCTCTCCCCCGTAGAACTGTCGGTGCCTCTAAGGTAGACAATTTGATAAGTACACAAATAAAAAAATAAAATAAAATAAAATAAATGTCTGCGTCCCAACATAAGTTTTTTTGGTAGGTCCCTTCCTATCATAAAAATGATCAACTGCATCACTCCAGATACCCCTTAAATACCCCTAGTAAGACCTCCTGCAAACTGTTGTGTGGACTGTTCCAACAAAAAATAAATGTTTGAAAGCCGGAGTTTGTTTTTGTCTCTTTATTTGACGTCAATTAGAAGCAACCACAATCCCTCAACTTGAGCTTATCTTACAACTTCTAAAAAACCGAAGCTTTCGTGTTTTTTTTATTTATAGTCATTGCCTTATAGTTCCAAATCCGATATCGTTTCGGGCGATAACTTTTTCTTTAAATTATTTAGAATCATAAAATTGTGTATGGAACGCGAACCCTGACATTCTAAATTCAATCCAGGATTATAGTTGATATCGACAATCAGCTAACTAATTAATTTTAGTGTTTTTAAAAAGTATTTGTTATGGAAACGGCTTTTCGAAATAAAAAATAGGTGCAATTAAAAATATAGAGCATCGAAATTGGAAGTATAATTACTGGTAACTGAGTGTGGGAGTGACCTAACTGGATGTGAGTGAAACATACAGAGGCTTGTATGCCATTTAAATTCGAAATATAAGAGACTCTCTAAATACAAAATGAGATCCTTTACTTTTTTTATCCAAAAAAAAAATGTTTATTTCTTTGGATTTCACGCCCTTATATATTCCAAATAGATTAGGAAGTGCACCATATCCTACAAGTTACTAACCTATTTTAGCCAGAGTAGGTCGATATTCATTCCTTCAGTGCATCACAGAATGGGGAGAAATATTATCTCGTCTATGGAAGAATCTGAAATGCATTGGTTATCTATTTCAAATAGCCAACTATTTGAAATCAATTGGCACAAGGATATACAAGGTAATTATTTAATTTCAGTCACTAGCGGATCCAGGATTTAATTTTGGAGGGAGCTTCAGTCCGAAAGTTATATATATATATATATATATATTTAAACTTAACTATTTAATTGGGAATAAGGTTATTTAATTATTATTTAATAAACTATTGAATGCTCATTTCTTCTTGAATGTTGTTTATTGACGTTTCGATCCCGGTATTTTCTTTTTATTAGTCAACCATGGGATCCTCTTCAAAGCTAGAATTTTAAAAAATAGACCTTCGATCAGGCCAGGGACACACCGACAGTCTCAGCACCGTCCACTAGCACATATATTAAGCTAACTAATTAATTTTAGTGTTTTTTAAAAGTATTCGTTATGGAAACGGCTTTTCTAAATAAAAAATAGGTGGAATTAAAAATATCGAGCATCGAAATTGGAAGTATAATTAATGAAGAAACTTTTTGTTATATAATAAAATAAAAGTAAAAAATAAAATAAAATAATTAAATGACCTTATTCCCAATTAAATAGTTAAGTTTAAATTTAATACTCAAAGGTCGATTAAGGAAAAGTTGTAAAGATATATATGTATGTATGTATATATATGTATATATATATATGTATATATGTATATATAAGAAAAAAAAAGAAGGATACTAACTACCTATATGAAATTATGTTTAAGTGATTCTTGAAGTCCTATTAAAAGTAATTAAACTAACAATAATAATTTAAGAAATATTTTTTTACCATAAACATGGTTACATTTTACCATTCAAGCCGAAAGCCATCTTTCTCCCTCCCTTAGTTCCGCCTGTGATTTTCAGTGATGCATCTACAACGGTCGATTTCTCAAAAGATGCGTATTTTTTTTTTCATTTTTCCCTTACTAACTAATAATAATTTATTCTCATTATTTACAAGTTTTGATACATTATAAACAACCATTTTTTTCTCAAGAGAGATTTTGGAAGGGATCCGTTAATGGTTCGTTCAGATCGGATTCTAACTATCGTCACTTCTGACTGGATATTACTCAAGTGACATCTTAACAATCGACTACCATGGTCTCCGAATTTAGAAAAAAATTAGAGCAGCCATTTCTATAATGAAGGCGTTTGAAAATCACTAAATTAAGTTTATTGATATAGTTGGTAAAAATTGTCGTTCTTTAACTGTCCATTTCGAACACATTTTTGGACCGAATTAATAATGTTTTAAATACCCTTTTGGTGCAGAATTGTTAAAGTAATTGTTGAATTTTTCTTCAATTGTTAAAGTAAAAACGGTTTCAGTAGGAAGGACCATTTCGCAGTTGTAAATCAATACAATTAATCTAATTTACTTTATTTTTAATACTTTGAAGTAAGATACTGTTGAGAGACGGTGCAAACTTAGCATAATTTTATTTAACGTCAATTAAAGCAACCAAAACGATTACCTGGTTTTAGCGGTTTCCACCAAATATCCTCATTTTACGTAGGCGTAAATTAATTTCAGAACATTTTTCAAATTTCCTCCCCAACTTATTAATGGTGATAAATTACATTTATCTTAAATAAATTATCATAAAACTTGTCTTATATATCCGATTATGAACTGTGATCCAATGCGTACGAATAAAGTTTTAAAATGAAACTAAATACTTTTAAACTTGTTAGTCTTTTACGTTTTAAACTGCAGCGCTAACTTATGTAACTAAATAAAGAATGGTTCTTGTCACACCGGGAGGCATAGAACCCGTTCCTTTAAATTTATAAATAGGACATCGGTACCAGACGGCAACGTTGTACTAAAATTTACTGCTTGGTAGCAAACCTGTACCTGCTCCTTGTAACAGCTCCGTAGGTCCAAAATACATCAGCTATTATAGTCCGTATAATGGAAGTCAATAAAAGAAAGGGTTCCTCCAAGGAGGTTAATTTTATTTTCTTCCAATACATTGTGTTGATAAAATGTTAGTGATTGTTTGGAACAACTGCTTATAATTACACGGTGAATAGGATAGGATAGGGTTGAACAGGATTTTTCAGTAATATTATTATTCATTTTATAGTCCTGACTGTAACGTAATATCATTACTTGTTAAGAGGAAAAGGTTTTAATAAAAATGAAATAAATACAATTGTTATCAGGCCTATCTCCGCTGACCAGGAAACCTTTGTTTTTTTTTGTTTTTTTTATCTCTTGGACTAGTGTAGCGAGCGTAAAATGATGGCTGTGGCCTACATAATACGTTAGCAATGACATACGACACCAGTAATATGTAAAATAGTATTTACAACTTAATTTAGCTATCATAACTCGTTCAGACCACAACACCTGACTTTAATTCGCTAAAGGTATCGGAAATCCCATTCCAAGCCTTGTTAATGGTGCGCAAACTATAATAATCTTCGTTAAAAAAAAAAAAAAAAAAATATGAGATTTATCTGCAATTAAGAACGTTTAAGAAGCCTTACTTAAAATTTTGAAGATGCATTTACATTTCACAATCTATGGGAAACACAATTTTATCTAAAACAGCAACATTATTGCTAATCCAAACTGTTTATTTTATTTCTCTTGACACCAACAGCAGATGGAAAATTTAAAATACAAGAAATAAAAAATACAAGCATAGTGAAATAACCATTTATATACTTGTTTGTCCCATAGGTTGTGAAACGCCTAAATGCTCCTTCAAAGATAAATAAGAAAACCTGTTTTAGGTAGAAGTAAGGGGGAATTGGTGCTTAAGAGGAAGATGGATCTTTATGAAACCTAAAATGCTTACTTCTTATAGGTTTTAAATGTTTTTAAGAAATGGTTTATCTAATTGTATAAAAATATCAGTGATAGGGTATAACACTTTATTTATGTTTTTAAACTCTTATTTTTCTTCCCTTGTAAAATTTACCAAAATGGTATTACAAGGTTTCTATCGCCTATTGTTGATATTTATAATTAAGTACAAAACCTATTACATTATTTAACTATGATTTATAATATGAATTGCATATATTTTTTTATTATTCAGGTTGCATTTATTATCATTGGATCATTTACTATGCTGATAGTGATCACACCTACCTTTTTCCTTCTGGAAGGTATTGCGTTATTAATGGGAATTTTTGACGGTTGTTTTATATCACTTCTCGGTCCAATAGCATTTGATTTAACTGGTCAAAGTGGAGCTGGACAAGCAATTGGATTTCTTCTTGGCTTTTGTTCTATACCGCTTACTGTTGGACCTCCAATCGCAGGTATTTTTTTCTTTTTAAATATTAATAATTATAAACTGAAAAGTTCTGGAAAATTTATTAATAGTGATAGATTAGTTGTTAGTATTTCAACATTATGAATGAAATTAAGGCCAATTTCCTCACCCTAAAATTAATTGACCCATCCTTTTTGAATCATTCCCTCCCTTCTGGTCACACCCTTGTTTTTTTTATATGCAGTACAGCTAGTTAAGTTCAAGTATATGTATATATGTAAACATTGGCATGCGAAAAAATAAAGAATTTAATCATATGATCTAGATGATATTCATTGATCTTAAGGCCAATATATGTATATCATCAGTATATGATACTGTCATGGGGAGAGAGCTTTACAAAGGAGAGCTTCGGGAACTTTATGGTGAACCTGATATTGTGGCATTGATAAAAAAAGCCAGAATCAGATGGTTAGGTCATGTGGAAAGAATGCCAAAGAGTATGATCTGAGGTGGCTGGGCGTTCAAAGATGGAGGTAAGTAGCACAAGACCATGGAGATTAGTTGGTTGTAGTAGAGGTGATCCGGGTTCTTGCAGGACCGTAGTGCCATTATAATAATAATAATATTGTTACTATTACATTTTAATTTTTTTATATTTTTACATTTATTTATTACATTATTTATATATATATATATATATATATATATATATATATATAATATATATATATATATATATATATATATATATATATATATATATATATATATATATATAATGTCACATCACAACCACAGCCTATCTATAAAATGTAGCAAACTTACATTTATTTGTTTAGTAGACAGAGACATGTACCAAAATCAGCATTTAGTGAAAACGAAAATTAAAAAAAAATATATATAAAATTTACTTATTAAAATTTATTTGATTTATAAAACATTTAAACAGAATATAAATAAGATCATGAATATGACACAAATAACAGAGAAAGGACATACCTTGGGTTCAGAATAAATCTGCAACTGATGCTGCCAAATGGTCAGAATTCGGAACGATCCCAATGAGTCAGCTACAGAGGACTAATGAATGCACCAACCAAGCCACAAGTCAAATGGTGAAGGCGGGACCTGCCCCAACCTGAGTAAGTGGCAACTGCCTAGGCGAAGTTAGCAGAGAAGATTGGTAGGTAGAAGTTAAAAAGGCCAAGAACTATTATAAGTGTCTGTTGAGCTAACCAAAGAAGAAGATATATATATAGACATATAAACCATATTTCTTTATATTTTACTGGCTTTACTCGGCCACTCGCTGCTGTGGCTTAGTCTGGCAAAATGGAAAAGAAAGAAAATAGAAAGCACATATGATTGGATTAATGCCTAAGAACATCTTTCATTTTTAAAAAGTTGGGAAACAAATTTGTCTATAACATGGCTTCAATTTAAACTACTTCTAATGATTCAATTTTCAACATTCTTAATCATCAGAGTCAATACGCCCTCATACTTAATCATCAGAAACAGTCTGAGTTGAACTTATATAACTAAAATTGACTTTATTTCCGCTTTCTGAAAATGACAGAGATCTGTCTTTGATATGAAGCCACTCATATATTTTCATGTTTAATTTTACTATCAATTTTTTAAATATTTAATGTATTGTTTAATGTTTAACTTTGTGTTGATTATTTTATGGCAAATAAAAATGTAAATGTTTGTTTGTTCAAAGTTCTTCACCCATTGCATTAAAATTTTGGTTTAACGCTGCATTTAAATACGCACGTTGTTTAATATATCTACTATTATAAAATATAAGGTGAAACCATACATATTTATTAAAACGCAGCATTAGTTGGATATAAAAGCAACACATGTGGTTCAAAATATTTTACGACACTGTTTCAATGTTTAAGATTTTCAAATATCAAACGTGGCAATGCATTGAAATTGAGCTATACCATTTATCATAGCATCTATTTTGTGTGCATTAGAGCTGCTTTACACCTCCCTCAATAGATTTCTCCTAAGATATTTGATTGCTTTCTTCTTAATAACAACTTGATTAAATATAGAGTTGTGTGAAAAAATAAACCTTACTCATGAAAGAAACTCTACGGTAAACGACACAACCTTATTCCAACGTAATGTTAAAGAAAATAATTTATTAAAAAATAAACTAAACTGAAATAAATGAAAAACTGATTACTAAAAGGAACATAAATGGTGATAATTATTACTCAAGAGTTAAATATTTTTAAATTATAGCAAACCAAATATTTGAGATGTATCATACTATTTCCAGAATACATTGGGGGGAAATAAAAAATAAATATAAAGAGCGTATAATAGCATTGACCAACATAAGGAGAATCATATCACTTCTTCAAATGATAATTTCAATTACTGCAGTAATTATACAATTTTTGATTAATCAATAAAAAGAAAAAGGGAAATGACCTTTTCTGAAGAGAAAGTAGAAAATGTTTAAAACTCTTATAACTCTGCAACGAATCGTCCGATATCGATTCTATTCGATTCCGATTATCTATAAAAAATTGTGTACTTTTGTAGTTATCGGCAAATAAAATTTTGAATTCATCATAAAATGTGTTCAGCTTGTTTTCGGGAAAGTATGTTATAAACATAAATTAAAAGGGTTTTAAGGGGAAGACTTCAGCCAAGTTTGGTTAAAATGGTTAAAGTCGTTTTGGCGCTACAGTTTATAGTGACACTTTTTTGGCCGCCATTTCGAAACAAAAGGCCGATGGTAATAAAATGATCAAAAACTCTCCTGAATTCGATTGCAACGCTGTGTTAAAATTTCAAAGCAATCGGTGAAGAACTTTTGGAGAATAGCGGCTTTGAACAAAAAAAACATCTACATTTTTATTTTATTTTTTTACAAACATAAAATTGTAAGACAGAAGTATTATACCAAAAACCTTTGCGGGAGTGTACGCAATAACTTCCCAAAGTTTCATGACGAATGGATGAATGGTTTAGTAATTCATAAAGGACAAACAGACATTCATTTTTATATATATAGATAATGTTGTGTTTTAGATTAATCTATAGATGACATTAAAGTAGATTTCTGTTGATGTTCTGATTTTAGGATGGTTGTATGATGAATATGGTTCCTATGATCTTCCTTTCCTGCTAGCTGGAGTTCCTCCTATTGTTGGTGGTTTAGCTTTGTCTCTGATCAGATGCTTTCCAGCAGGTGAGGCTCAAGTTCCACTACTTACTAGTACTGCTAATTACAGAAAATAGTGATTATTAGCAGTTATTGGAGTGAGGAACATAAAGTTGTACTTTAAATAGTGAAACATGTTTATAAAACGTTTTGAACTATCTACAAAAGTATAGTGTTTGATCTCTTTTTGCTAGTAGTTGGAGAAATTCTTACAGAAAGTAATATTTTTACAAAATATGCTTATTCACCATATATTATATATTTCATTTGTTTTTAAAAATAGGTAATTCTAAAAACATGTTATTTAATATTTTTAAATCTGCAGTTACTGAATTGTTCATTTATTTATTACAAATCTTCCAAACACTTCAATATTGGGCAAATTAGTAAAATATTAATGGAATTAAAAGACTTTATATTGATGATCACCAATTACTTCATGATATTTAATACTTTCCTTTTTTTATGTTGTTTTTTTTAGCAATTTTTAGCATAATTTAGTTAAAGGATATTTTATTGTTGGCAAAATAATATGTTATATTGATAGATCTTATTAAAACTATTTTTAATATAACTATTTATGTATCTTCTTTATATCTGTTAATTAATTTATTTTTTTATATTTAAGTAATGAAGAAATACATAAATAATTACCAGATAATTTTCTAATTAAGCAATTGAGCCTATTCCAATTAAATTTATATTTTTTAAAATCTTGTTTTATACTAAAGTAAAATTTTATAAAAATAAATATGAATAGTAATAAGATTTTTTTTTTATTATCCTTCAAATTTAATACATTTTTTTACATGGTGCATCTGTGTAGAATTAAATTATTGAAAGATGGGTCAAGCTTTAGGGAATATCTTTGCTTTATTTTGTTGTCCTCATTGCACTGACTAGCATGTTTTCAGCCCATATAGCATAATTTTTCAAGTGGTATCTAAGTTATTTATTTAAAATATTCCAAATGATGTATAATATACAGTACACAATGCTATTTAGGTACAACAATCACATTTTGCATGGATATTTTTCGAGTAAGAAATATATGCATTTAGGAACAACAATGCAATTTACATGCATGCATAATCAACCAATAACATTTTTTTAAAAACACAAATCAAGGGAGTTTATTTATTTTGGTTTAAATTATAATATGGTTAATGTTAATTTAATTATGATATATCTGAATAAATAACATTAATTTTTATAATGAAACAAATTTTCTCTAATATATATCTTTGATTCTTTAATTATATTTAAGTTATGATAAAACTGTCACATTATCAAACCAATTTATAAGCATTTATTCAATGGTGCTGGAGTATTTAACCTTGTTTCCAATTATGTAATTGTATTTAACTTTTTATTTTAAAAAAATCTGCTCACTCATCTCTTTCATTGGTTACAATTCTTCATTCTACAACAATTACTCATTTATTTTAAAATTAATTGGAAAATAGCAGATAAATTATGTTAATTAAAAATGAAAAAAATTAAATCATATTTTTTTTTTTTTTGTAAAACATTTCATTTTTGCCATCTTAATTTACAATGTCTTGAGAAAATTTGTTTTTATATTTATATTAAAGACAAATATTGTTTATCAGATATTATTTTCTAATACAATAACATTGGAGTTTTATTATAAATTTTACTAATAAACTCATTATTTGGTGTTGCATGTGTTATCAAATGGGATTTGTTGATTTTTAGATGAAGAGAAAAAGAACCCGGAAAAAGAACGCGAGGTTGTCACACTAACTGTTGATGGCGATGCATAGCATGGTAATATTCTAAATGTTCCAAACAAAAAACCGAGTTTGTGAGTTACTTGAATATAATTACAACACTTTTATTTTCATGATTATATTCAAATTATTCCAAGTTCTGTCATTTAATGTTTATTAAAAATACTTTATATTGACTGATACAGCTTGCCTTTATAAGTAAGAAAAATCTTTTAAAGTTATGAGATAGCTCATAGTATTTTTTAATTTATGTCAGTTGATAATTAAAGCAATGTAATAATATAATTAGTTCCTACATTTAAAATTTTGTTTATATAACACAGTATGTTTGTTATATTATTGTTAAAATACTTGTGATCAAAATGCTTTTTTTTTTTAAATTTAACAAAGGTTTCCAATAAAAGGTTGTTACATGTGGGTGGTTGAAAATATGAAATGCAATAGTTTATTATTCAATTCATATTTTCCTGCCTTTATTTGGTACAATAGTTATGATATGCATGGGTCGGAGCTAGGGGAATAAAGGAGACACTAATCCTGGTCGGCAGAATAGAGAGGCCGGCAAATTTTGAACAAAATTTTCTTGTTAGGTTGCATAAAAAATATTTGCTTATAATTTTAGATTGTTTTGATCTAAATTAAATCAATAAAATTATTTAAAATAGTGTTACAAAACTGTTACAATTTTATTAGGAGAGGAGGAGAGGGAGGGAGACATCGGTGAATGTAAAGAAAGTAAAATTAAACCTGTCTTCCAGGCTATATTCTAGTTCTGACCCTTATGGTATACATTTGAAAAAAAATTGAATATTATTTTATTTTGTAAATACACAACAAAAATGTTAAAGTTTATTTGTAAATATTAATTGTAAGATTTAAAAAATTGTTTTAATTTATTTTTGAAAAATAAATCAACTGTATTTTTTCAGTATTTTATATTTTAAAAGAATCCAAGTATTGTAATTTATTAAAACATATCATGAGTTAATTAAAATTTTGAACATTTAAAAGAATTAATTTTCATAAATTGCACATTTTTTTCTCTAAGGTCTAGCGAGCATATTTTAATAAAAATTGTACAGATAAATAATTTTTGTAGAAGTAAAACTGTAGTAAAATTGTTTTGGCATTATTTTGTTACTTTAGATTTTAATAAGTATTTGGACTGTGATAGCGGTCATTCAAAGATGCCTTATTATTTATTACATTTATATTTATGGTACAAAGTTTTTACTTGTATTTTTTGATATCTTGGAATCAGAGTTGGGCAAAACTTGGGTCTTAAAGGATTTTGAAAAAAAAAAAGAAATATTTCAAATACAAATTACACCCATGTATTTTTGAATAAAAGTATTCTAAATACAAAATACTCCTAAACCTTGGTCAGTTATTTAACACAGCACTCTTCCTCATCTTGGTCTTCAGCAACTAATTAGGATATATCTATTTTATTAAAAAAGTATTATAAATACAGGATTCTCTTTGATTGACTTTTCACTCATTAATCAACATTCTTTAAAATCACATTCAATTTTGACTAAACAAATTTTAAAAAATTTTATGAAATTAAAAGAAGGTGAATTAAAAATTTTTATAAAGAGTAAAAGTTTTAGTGAAGAAGTATTTATAAAAGATTATTTTATGTTACTGCAACATAAATAATGAAAGAAAAAAATATTAAAAAATAAATATACTTCTCAATGTACATTTTATTTAAATGAAAATTTTAATGGTTTAGTGAATTCTATTTCAATAACAAAATGTGATACAAAATATTATTTCATATTTTACCTCTAAAAATATTTCTTTGTATTATCTTGTTTATTTAAAAATACAAAATACCTTTTTTAAATTTCATTTATTAAAATATATTTTTTTTGCTTTGCATTTTGTTTCCTAACATACAAAATATGTATTTTGAAATTCTGTCCAACTCTGCTTCAAATATCTTGTTATGGAATATTGTTAAAATTTTCAAAGAATACATTTAGTCATTATTAATTTATTTTTTGTTGGCCTTTGAATCATTTTTGCTATTTATTATTTTTTCAAATGTTGTACGCCTTTTTATAGAAGCCATTCCTTCAATATCTTGATTTCATTTCTTATCATAGTATATTTTTTCTTCTTTTATACTTATATTTTTGTTTAGAAAAATTAAGTAACGAACTTTTTTTTTTCAATTGTACCTTCGATCATTAGTTCCTATGACTTTTGTTTAATGTGAATATTTTGAATGTGTTACATTCTAAACATCCTAAAGGAGTAATATTATTTATACCTAGTATTAATTTTTAATGTTAATTATTTCCATTAGGGAATGTTTTTATTGAAAGAATAGAACTAATATTATAGACTGTATTTATTTGAAAATGTTTGTTGGCACTGAGTTTAATGTACCAATTATTGTTCCCTTGAGATGCTTGAGAGGCCTTCCTCATTCAGTTACATTGTCATCGAGTTAGTTCTGTTTCTAAAATCTAAGTTTGTGATTTGTATTTCCTGTCATTCCTTATTTTGAATATTAATCATTTTATCTCTGCCTGACGCCATTGTTATTTAAAAAAGAGATCAAGTACTGAATTTGCTTTAATCGCCTTACGAGATTTTAGAATCAATTTTTAAATTAGTTTTTTCACCACACTTCAATAATTTTTTTATCCTTTATTTTTTAGGATTATACAATTCCTTTTTTATAATGTATAATGTCCCCCACTTAATAGAACCATACTTTTATAAAAATACTATAATATGTATTTAATGTTATTTGACTAATAATCAGATCCAACCTAAACAGAGTACATTGAAGAAGGAACTTAGAAAATGATTAATTAGTGGCTGCAGTTAAGAAATCTTAATTATTTCTGTTATATTGAGATAAATTCTAATGGAGCATTTTTTTTTAGAAAATTCAGCTTCAATGTAATATTTCTTGGGAATTGATGAGATAAATTTGACCAAAAAAACTTTAGCAAAATTATTTTTAATGATAAATAGAACATTTCCATGATGAAATAATATTTATTGGAGTTATAAATTCCTATTTTAGTTTCTTTTATAGATTATTTTGGCTTTGTTTATGAAGCCTATATGATTTAAACTTTATTCTTGGGCATTTTCTTACTAGCATATGTAACCTGAATTAGTTTATGCATTCATTTTCCTTCCTTGGGTTAGTAATTTATCAAATCTTTGTTAGGTCATGAAAATTTCTGAATTTTTTTAGTTCTGATGTATTTATTTTGTTTGTCCTCTGAGGTGCTTCTTTTTTCCCGGTATTTTAAACAATTCAAAAAAACTTTTATTTTTTCTTGTTTGTAATTCCTTTTTTACCACTTCTTACACTGCTTTTTACCTGCAACTTATTCCATTCCACTAATGTTCGGTGAAGTGAAAATGTAATGTAAATTCATGACTGTATTTATTGAATTATTTTATATTACATCTGTACCTTTTTTTTTATTAGTCTTAAAATGGAGAGCTGCAAAAGTGTTGCCCAAAGATTTAAAAAATAAATTCCATGATATAACTAACTCTGTGTGCTGTTTGTTGTATATCATTAGTGTTCTGTAAAAAGATAGAATTCAACAAATAGCTTATAAAGAGTAAAAACTAAAAAAAATCACGTCAAATATGCTCTTCTGAAAAGGTATGAATTGTTTGATTCATCCATTTTACAGAACACTGACAATATATGGTCAACTTGATTAATCTAGCTTGTTTAAAGTTTTTAATTTTTTGTATCATATTCTTTTAAGATTGTTCTAAGTTTATTGATAATGAATTTGAATTTAATAAATAATTATGTAATTCTTTTAACATTGACTTAATTATCAGAATGGAGATATATTTGATTATAAATCAATCAGTAGATGATTATTGTAAGTGCACAGATTATTGACTGTACCCACAACCAACTCCTAATGAATTAATTATACATTTCAGTATTTGTGTTAAATGTACCATTTAATTCAACCATACCATCAGAAGTAGATTCCATCTGT